TGGCTGGTTTTGGAAGCTCTCACTCCCCAGCTTGGCCCGCGTGGGGCAGGTGCTGGGGGGCGGGCAGCTTTCTGAAGAGCCTGAGCAGAGCTGCCCAGCTCCAAACACAAACCTCACCTCCCTGGCAGTGCTGAGCCAGCCCCAGCCTCTCTCACAGGAGCTTTGTTTCCCTGCTGCTCCTCAGGCAGGACACCTTCATGGAGAACTACTTCACCAGCCAGAGGGACAACATCTTCCGCAACGTGGAGGTGCTGATCTACGTGTTCGACGTGGAGAGCCGTGAGCTGGAGAAGGACATGCACTACTACCAGTCCTGCCTGGAGGCCATCCTCCAGAACTCCCCCGACGCCAAGATCTTCTGCCTGGTGCACAAGATGGACTTGGTGCAGGAGGATCAGAGGGATCTGGTGAGGAGAGGGGGCTTGGCAGAGTCAGAGCACCTCGGGACCGTGCCTCGGGGTTTGCCGCCTCCAAGGTGGGGGGACTTCCATGCCTCTGAGGGTTTCTCACACTTGAAGAGCTCTCCAAGGCCTCTCAGCTTTTTCTGCCTTTTCTACACCAGGTTGGCATCACTTCTCAGCTTTTTCTGCCTTTTCTACACCAGGTTGGCATCACTTTCTCTTGCCTGTAGCCTGGTGGAGAGCAGAACTAAGGAACAGTGACAGCTACTCCAAGCCTTGTTTTTTTCCATGGAAGGTGTGACTGGAAGGAATCCAGAGAGCTTAAACTCCCTGCTCACCATCTGGATGGCTTTGTGGATGGTGGTGGTGGTGGTGGATGATTTCTCTTTAGCTGTTGCTTTCAGCCCAGTGTAGACTTTGTTCTAGAGCAAACCAAGAAGAGTTGAAACCCTCCCAGTTCACTGGAAGGTGGTTTCTGTCTGATTTTGTTCCCTGTCAGTGTGATCTCTCTGCCACCCCTTTAGCACCCCCCTGGCCAAAGAAGCATCCTGGAAAGGCTGCAGAGGAACCTTTCAGAAATCTTTTTCTGCTCTTCTTGGAACCCCTGAAAGGCTGTGGGGAGATTGGAGGATGTTGAGTTCCTACCAGCTTTGCCTTTTCAGCTTGGACTGAGAAACCACTGGCTCCTGATGCCAAAGGAAGAATTAGTTCTGTGGGTTGGACAAGTGCCTCCCAGGCTTGCAGCAAGCTTGGAGGCCCCTGGTTCCAGGGATGGGGCAGCGACCACCTCTCTGGGCAGCCTGGGCCAGGGGCTCAGCACCCTCAACATCACAAATTTCCTCCTTTCTAGTCTAAATCTCCCTCTTTTGGTTCAAAGCCATTCCCCTTGTCCTACCCCAGCAGGTCCTGCTAAAGCCCAGTGGAGACCTGCTGGGTTTAGGTGGTTGTGCAGACCCCAGCAGGGCCCTGAAGTTGGGGGGTGGGCAGCAGGGGGACTTTGCTTCAGAAATGCTGAACACCCAGCCAGGTCTGTGCTGAGGCAGCTGCTGCTCAGGAGATGAAGCACATCCCTCAGAGCTTCTGAGGAACCTCAGCTGCTCTCTCCTCCTCCTGCTCTCAGTGACACATCTCTTTGCCTGCGACCAGGAACTTGTCCAAACTTCCTTGAGGGCTTGTTTGGTGTGAAGACAGCACAGCAACCCCCACCAGAGGCAGAAATATTTCCACTCAGCTCCTGCTCTCACTTCATTCCCCAGATTTTTAAGGAGCGGGAGGAAGACTTGAAGCGCCTGTCCCGTCCCCTGGAGTGTGTCTGCTTCAGGACCTCCATCTGGGATGAAACCCTCTACAAGGTGTGTGCAGCTTCCCCCTGCAGACCTAGAGCAGGAGGAAGGGGAGTGGGTGCTTCCTGGGGGCCTAGGGGCTGGCAGTTGATGCTTCTGGAGCTCTCTGAGCATCCTGGTTTTAATTAGAGAACGTTTTCCTGCTGTCCAGGTCAGAGCTCTGCTGGGTGGGGGGTGGTGGGTGCTCCCTGGGCCCCACTGGGAGCTGATGATCCTGATAATTGCCAGTGGAAGCTCTGAAGCAGTGGGGGTGATGTGGGGGCTGGGCTGCTTGCCTGGAGGTGAGGACCATGGGGCTCTTTCTCTTGACTTTGGTGGGACTTGGGGGCAGATTTCACCATCCTGGAAAATCCACCCAAAGCCAAAGCACATTCCCCTGCCTGCAGTGGGGGTCAGGCTCTTCTCCCAGGGAACAAGTGACAGGACAAGAGAAACAGCCTCAAACTGCTCCAGGGGAGGTTGAGGTTGTCCCTGAGGAACAATTTCTTCCCTGGAAAGGGACAAACCCTCAGCACCACATCTCCACAGCTTGGGAACCCCTCCAGGGGTGGGGACTCCACCACTGCCCTGGGCAGCCTGGCACAGCCCTGGGCAACCCTCCAGGGCAAGAAATTGTTCCTCAGCTCCACAGATAGCTGGACATGGAGGTGGAAGGAGCTTCTCAGCCTTGCTGTCAACACCCAGCACTCAGTTCTTGAATATGTTGGGCAAGAAGAGGATGAGGCAGGGAGGTGCTGACCTTGTCTCTGTTGGCAGGCTTGGTCCAGTATAGTCTATCAGCTCATCCCCAACGTCCAGCAGCTGGAAATGAACCTGAGGAACTTTGCTCAGATCATTGAGGCTGATGAAGTGCTGCTGTTTGAGAGAGCCACCTTCCTGGTGAGTGCTGGATCCTGCCCTTGGGGTCCCTCCCTGGCCTGGGACAGAGTCCCCTGGGTGGAAGGTGCTGTTGTGGCATTGCCCAAGGAGGTGCTGGTGCCAGGGTGCCTCCATCCAGGCCCTGTGGCACTGGGAGGAGCTGATGTGGCTCCACAGCTTCTGGCACCTTCCCAGCATCTCCACCTCCAGCAGTGGAGCTGGGGGCTCCATTGGTGTTTCCCTCTCCCAGGCTGGGAGGTTTCAGATCCCCATTCTGTGGGCAGCTCTGGGACTTTCTGCATAGAGCAAGAACCTTCTTTACCTTGAAATAAACCTTCCCAGTTCCTCCTGGCCTGGAATTTTAACTGCTGTGGATTTTTGGGGGGGGTTTTGCTGGTGTCCAGTGCTCTCCAAACCCAGAGTGTGGACAGAGGATCACAGGCAGTTGGATTCCCACAGCCTCTGAAGCTCCTTGAAGCTTCCAGCCTGTTGTCTCTGTGAGGTCAAAGCCACCACTGCTGCCTCCCTGCCCCTACTCTTGGCTTCTGGGTGGGTCTCTTCAGACTTGAAGTCTTGCTGACCTCAAGGTCTGGGTTTGAGGTTTTTTCAGCCCTTTCTTTGATGGCAAAGGGTCTGATTTGGGCATGGTGGAAAAGGAGCCAGTACAATCCTGGCAAGTTCTGCTTTGTTTGACCTTCTGGAGCTAATAGAGTTCCACCTTCATGGGGTGTGACAGTGCTGTTGTTACAAGCACAGCATTTTTTTTTCAGTTAAAAAGAGAACAAAAATTCTATACTTATTTTTCAGAGCCATGCTGACTTTTTTTAAAAGACCTTTATCCTTATTTTAAAAAAATTTCAGCTTCTTCCAGGTTTTTTCTCTCCTGAAGTGAAATCTTACTCTGAAATCCTATTCAAAGCACAGAGACAGAAAAACCTACCTGAAAAATTAAGGAACAAACCTGCAGACAGTGGAGGCTTTGGTGGGAGGGCAGCCTCTGAACCTGCCTCAACCTGTACTCCTGTGAATAATTGGGCAGCTTTACAAACTAGCAAGCACATTAGCATTTGAAGGTGCTCAAGGGAAAAAAAACAACCCTAAAAAACCCCTTTAATTCTCCCAAATGTGACTCCACAGGTAGGAAAGGGTGTGAGGGCATCTGGTGGTTGGTTTCATGATTCTTAAGAGCTGAAAGGACACAAGGAAAAATTATTGCAGGATTTGTCAAGTGGCTGTTTCCCCTACCTGAGGGGATGGCTTTGCTTCTTTTTTTTGTTTTCCTCCCTTCTCCTTGTTTTCTTTTCCTTTGAATCAAGTTTTAAATCACTGCTGAGTCAGAGCATTCAGACCTCAAATGTACAAACAGCTCCCAAGATTCCATCAGCAAAATGCAAAGGGAATCCCTCTCCTGGTCCCTCCTGTTTCCCCTGAGGGCTGTTGAGCCCCAGGGAACCTCTGTGCTGAAGGAAACTCCTGCCCCTGCCCCCTCTCCCTCTTCTTTCCAGGTCATCTCTCACTATCAGTGCAAGGAACAGCGAGATGTCCACAGGTTTGAGAAGATCAGCAACATCATTAAACAATTCAAGCTCAGTTGCAGGTGAGCTGCTTTAATGGGGAGGTGGTTGAGGTCCCTGGGTGGGTTTTTGGGCTTCCTCCAGGAGCAGGAAGGCTCCAGGTCGCTGCTGCTGGGACTCCTCAGCAAGCCCAGGGCTGTTAGTTAAGTTGAAACACATCTGAGTTAACTGTTACTTCTGTAACTTCCTCCTTTGGTGGTTCAGAGAGGTTTGTTTTGAAACAATTTTCTTCTGGGCCTCCTTCTCCTGGGGCAGGTTGGGAAGTTCTGGGGCTGATGGATACAAAGAGTTCTTTGTAACCAACTCAACCCAAGGGGATGTTGGCTACGAGGGGGCAAAAGGACAAGAAGAATTCATTTTATTTCCATTTTTTTCCCTCCCTTTAGTAAGCTGGCAGCTTCTTTCCAGAGCATGGAGGTGAGGAACTCTAACTTTGCTGCTTTCATTGACATCTTCACGTCCAACACATATGTGATGGTGGTTATGTCAGACCCTTCCATACGTAAGTTGAAGCACAGACTTCTGCAGGGAGGAAAAAAACCCAAATTAACCTCATTTCAACTGTGTTTCTCTTGGAAAAGGAGGGTAAAGGGGTAAAACAGGGTAATTAAAAGCCAGTGAGGGATCTGCTGTTTGCCTCATCCTAGCAGAGGGTGGTTAGAAGGAGTTACCATGGAGAAGGTGAGGGACATGTCTGAGCAGTGGTGGGGGAACCTCCAGAATAGATGTGACCTGATTTTGGAGGTCATGTCTAATAACCTATTTTGGGCTGTTGTGATCTGGCAGCCCCAGTGATTTTTTTGGAGAGGAAGCAGAGATGGATCCTATTTGAGCTTGGCTGGCTGGAGGAGGGACTCTAATTATAGCAGCAGCTCCTGCTCTCCCAGCCAGAGCTGGTGCCAGCCTGCCAGGGCACAGGGACTCTGCCCACACAGCCCCAGCTGAAGCTGCTCCTGGGAGGGCTTGAGGTGCTTCAGAGACACTGTCCAGGACACCCTCGTGGCTCTGTGCTGCTGCCTCCTG